AGGTTTTGTATTACATATTCCATAGACTTAATGAGATAGGTTATTTGGTTAGATTGGTTGGCTTCTGGAATAATGTGAAGTTCAGGCGGGATTTGTGGTTGAGGTTTCAGAAAGCTAAAGTCCTATTTCACTCTCCTGGAACTCATCACTAGACTCAACTGATGAATGTATTTTGCAACCTAATCCCCTCAAAAGTTTGAGGTGACAACTTTAAAACCTCAGTATAGAGAATTATCTGCTTGCAAGTTGAGGCTTAAGGCAGCTAATACTATGGTAGTGTGTATGCATCAGTTTGATTTTTTGAGGAAAAGAGGAAAAGTTTGGAAGCAATTACTTAGAGATCACAGCAATATTCTTAACTTAGCTTGAGAAGTAGAGTATGAAAAAAATTCTCCCACCCTGCCAAACCAATGGTCCAGGGTTAAAGGTGGCTCCATCGGGACAGGACAGAAAACAAGGCAAGATGAGCAATACCCGATTCAACTCAAGAGGTGAAAGTGGAGAAGACCTTTACTTTAAAGTGAATTTTCTTTCTTTACATCCTATAGTAAATTCATGGTTTGCCCAGTCTCATTTTCCATGGGGAGTCAGTTTTATTCCTTACTAATTCTGATTAAATTCAGAGTGACCAGTATTTGGTCAAAACCCACGTGGAAAAAGTTTTGAGTAAAAGAGAGTATCTTTACTTTCAAATTCTGAGTAAGCCAAGGTGCAGCTGAATCCCCAGCGAAATTTACCCAAGTGGGATGTTTAAAATTTTAAATGTCAATTAATGCAATCAGTAAGATCTGAGAAAAGCTAGTTGCTTATTCCAGGCATCAAGTAACTTTATTCTCAATGTGTTCTCTTTTTCGCATTAATAAAGAAAGCTTTTGTGCCCACCAAGGAGAAAGAACCCCCCTTCCTCCTGGCTGGTCAGCCCAAGCCTGGATCCATGGACTTCTGAGGTCCGGCTAGGTATCAGCTGCACTCACACCCCTCGAAGGGCATTGCTATTCATGCTCTGGCATATTTCTAAGCTAGATAACAGGCCTAGATGAGGAGTCACTGAATTCAAACTGATGTGTCTGTGGACATAGGGGTTTCTGAGAGAATAAATGAGCATTTGTAGCCTGTAAAGTTAGCCACCACTATACCCAGTGCAGATCCATTTTTTTTTTTTTTTAATTTTGGAAATTAGTGGCATATATGGGTGGTAAAGGGTGCCTGGGTGGCTCAATTGGTTAAAGCATCTGACTTCGGCTCAGGTCATGATCGCACAGTACATGAGTCATGAGTTCAAGCCCCAAGTCAGGCTCTCTGTGCTCAGCGCAGAGCCTGCTTCTTCAATTCATTAATAATTACTGCTCATGCCCCACTAATTTCACAGGATTTGCGGATTAATGTTTATTTATTTTGGGGGGGGCAAGGGGCAGAGAGAGAGGAGACACAGAATCCAAAGCAGGCTGTCCGCACAAAGCCTGATGCAGGGTTAGAACTCAGTAACTGTGAGATCATGACCAGAGCCAAAGATGGACACTCAACGGACTCAGCCGCCCAGGTGCCCCAGGATTTGCAAATTAAAAAAAGAACACTATTGTAGTCAATAGTTAGTTGCTAAAAACTCAAATAATGCAATAAATGTAAGAATGGAGGTCTTGCCACTTAGGACATTTGATAGACTTGTTATGGAAAGATAAAGTTTGCATATATATTGTATGAAGAGTCCTGGGGTGTGCAATGCATTTACATATTCCTCTTCAGTTCCTTTCTTCTTGTTTTGTAGCCTCCTCTCCCCGCCTTCCACAGAAAATCACACAGCCCTTATAGGAGCCACTCGAAATACAAAAGTCCATGAGAGAGATATTTAGATAGATTGCATTCACTCTGTGTATCTTAAAGCTTTACATCTAGAGAAGCAAATTTTAGCCTAAAGCATGTTTTTCTGTTTATGAGCACATTCAGGTGACTGCAGAGATAATGGAATTGCTGATACACTGCTCATAGCTGTTTGGGTAACTGTTCTTTTATTATCAGGAAAGCAAATGCAATTTTTAAGATCAAAGTGGACATCTCTTGGAAGCTACATTTATTACAAAAGGCTAAAGTGTCCACATTCCTAGGAATCAAAGGGACTCAAAAGCCAGCAAGGCAGTAGTATTCAAGAGACAAAAGCAATTTTTGATGGACAGGAACCACCAAAGTAGGTGACAGGAGCAAGAGGTAATTTAATTCTAAAAGTTACCAATTCTGCACGATCTGGGGTTAAGCAAGGTGCCTGATGTGGTGACATCCACAGCCAGGGTCGGCCTGTCGATAATTTTGACTGCCACTGCAGGGACTGAGAAAGTACTTTCATACTTTTCACCATTGGAGATTCCCTTGATAGCATTTTGAACCAATTTCTGCCAAGAACAGGAGCCCCACTCAGCTATTGCAGTGGAAGTAAAGTAGGAAGCTATCATACCCAGTCACAATAGAGTATTTAGAAAACCATCATGGGTGAATTCTAGCCCTGAAAACATGGCAGCCTCAGATGGTAGCAATCGGACTGTGGCTATTCTCCTGTCACCTGACATCTAATGGCAGTTCCACTGTATTTAGGGTCCTTTTGTATCCTCCCCCAACCTCCAACCTCGCTTTGAATCCCCCCATAAGCCCCTTTGCCAAGGCTTTCAGATGGTTAACTTCAGGGATGTCTGACAAACATCTCTCCAGTTGGGCCCACTTCTTTTTAAAAAAATTTTTTTTTCAACGTTTATTTATTTTTGGGATAGAGAGAGACAGAGCATGAACGGGGGAGGGGCAGAGAGAGAGGGAGACACAGAATCGGAAACAGGCTCCAGGCTCCGAGCCATCAGCCCAGAGCCTGACGCGGGGCTCGAACTCACGGACCGCGAGATCGTGACCTGGCTGAAGTCGGACGCTTAACCGACTGCGCCACCCAGGCGCCCCAAGTTGGGCCCACTTCTAATGCTTACTGGAAACTCCTTCACTTGTATCACTAAAGACCTCTTCTAATAGTTTTTAATTTTTTTTAATGTTTATTTATTTTTGAGATGGGGGAGACAGAGCGCGAGTGGAGGAGGGGCAGAGAGAGAGGGAGACAGGGAATCTGAAACAGGCTCCAGGCTCTGAACTGTCAGCACAGAGCCCGATGCGGGGCTCCAACTCACGGACCGCGAGATCATGACCTGAGCCGAAGTCGGACGCTTAACCGACTGAACCACCCAGGCGCCCCTAATAGCTTTGAATATCCTTGAAATCTTGGCCAAAGCATTTGGAAGAGTAACGACAGGACTTCATTATTTCTTCTCAAAAACTCTCCAGCAATTTCAGAGTAGGAAAAGGCCAACAGAAATTCTGGATACTTGGGGCACCTGGGTGGCTCAGTTGGATAAGCTCCGGCTTCAGCTCAGGTCATGATCTCACGGTTCATGAGTTCAAGCCCCGCATCGGGCTCTGTGCTGACAGCTCAAAGCCTGGAGCTTGCTTCACATTCTGTATCTTCCTCTCTCTCTGTCCCTCCCCCACTCACACTCTGTCTCTCTCTCTCAATAAATAAACGTTAAAAAAATTAAAAGAAAAGAAATTGTGGATACTTAATAAGTGGGCTTCATATTACAAAAGAAATCATTTATCTCTCCCTTTTTATCAGGTTAACGTCTTCTGAAATCCCCTTAACTTTTCCCGAGAGTTTATCTTTCTAGAGACTAGAATTGGAAGAAGCATTTTCTTGATGTTTATCACATATTTATTGTAGTTGAAAGGGTAAGTGTTACAGAAGTGTTTTTTATATTTGGGAGCTTCTCTACTGCACACTTTTACTGCACACATGATTAATGAAAAGACAATATTGATTTTAATGCATCTTTTTTCTACTTTTAAGAGAGACCCAGTGGGGTAGGGGCAGAGAGGAGGCGGGGGTGGGGCTGGGGGAGAGGATTTGAAGTGGGATCTGCACTTACAGTACCAAACCTCATGAACTCATGGGCTCAAACTCATGAACTGTGAGATCATGACCTGAGCTGAAGTCAGATGCTCAACTGACTGAGCCACCCAGGCGCCCCTGATTTTAACGCATTTTAAACACAATCTTAGACAGTATGCAAAGCCTCAATCACAGACGTTTTTCTTGTCCTAAGAAAAGTATATAATAGTTTTAAACTTATAAAAATTTGAATGTGATCAAAAGGGTACAGTATGAGGAGTAAATAATAAATAATAGTATGCCTTGGGAAATCTCTGGGGTAACTTTTGGAAAAACTTCACCATTTACCATTAATGGTCCTGAGAGTTTGTCAAACTAAGCTATGTATATTTTTTTTCTTTTTCTTGACATGCACAATTTTCATATTCACACTGAGAAAAAGAACAATTTAACTTTGTAGAGACCAATTGGTTATTAGCTATATTGGTTATATAATAATGGTTATGATAGACAATTCTTACCTCTATAGAACTTAAGTTAATAGCAGGGTTATCAAAGATTATTTACTCTGGATGTATCATTTTGATTGAATTCCCCAAGTTTAAGTTATGGGAGCACCTACTCAGAAGCACCACCTTCCCTCATAAGTCCCAACAGGGGTGTAAACAGAGGCTTAAATACTCTTTCGTATTTTTTATCATTTTCCAATAAAAATAAAGTAAAATAGTCAATTTAAATGATTCTTAGGGGACAAAGAATAGAGAGAGCTGAAAATAAGAAGAGAACATCTAGGAGAATATCTACAAGGCAAATACGCGTTGTCAGTGACCTCTGCGTTTTCCTGATCCTCACATCTGCACACTTTCTCTCACGCTTAGCAAAGTTTGACAAGGGGGTGATCCATGTAATCAGTGCAGCTTGTAATTTTCTACAACTTGCAGGTCTGACTTTTCTCCACGGTAGGGATATTGTTGCCACCTGTTTTCACCCATTTTATTAGAGATAATTGTCCTCATGGGTCCCCAGTTGACACGCCTGAAATGAGTCACCTGCCCTCTCTCCCTTGGCCCCTCCCTCAGCTGCTACTCACTCAAAAGGGTCGCTGGGATCTGCCCTCTGGAGCTCTGGAGGAATGGGGATTCTTTTGTAGTACATTTCCCAGTCGAAGGCGCCTCGCATGGCATCCCCAGCTTGTGCCTCATACCCAAAGTGATTGTGGTCAATGACATCGATCATGGGGCACACGATGGTTTTGTGGTTTAGTGCAATTTGGTCTGAAAAATGAAAGCACAAAATAGGAAATGACATGCCTGCCTAGGTCATCTATCATTTTTCAGCAAAGAGAAGCCTTCCAGATCTTTCCTAATGCAGGGATGATGCTTGAAGCCCGGTTTCTGTCATTGTTAGAGCACTCTGTGAAATCTGTTTGAAGGCTAGACTTAACGTGATGGGACAGTGATTAGGTAAAATTAGTGTTGTTGTATTTTCCTTTAAGAAAGTTGTGTCCCAGAGAGACTTGCAGAAGTCCATTTAGCTCTACCTCTGTCACATTTTTGCTCTGACCTGTCCCCAATCTGTCATTTTATAGTGCATCCAACATATGTAGAGTATAAACAGTACTTGTGTTCCTTCAAGCATACAGCTGAGCCTGCTGAGAAAATATTGTCCTTCTTTCTGGAGGCTTCAAAATGTAAATATTTAACTTCATGTTTTTTCTTGTTTGTTTTTTCATTTTTAGCATCTCGTCTTATATAATGGCCACCATGGCTGCTCCCCCTGCCCCCCTTAAATGCTGACAAATCATACACAGAATTCTTCGCTCTCAGGCTTGCCAGAGATTTTGCCAAGTTCTATTTTGCTATTGTCCTTTGATACAGACTCTGTTTATCTAAGCTATACATGTTTATCTTTTCTCATTATATCCAAAAATATATTAGCTGGCCTGATAACTACTGTTTCTGTTCCTGCTACTATTAAATTCTTGAGCAACTACTAAGTGATTTATACTCTCGCTATTTCTAATCCTCCTGACAACCCTGTAAGGTGGCTGCCATTATCATTCTCGATTGACATATGAGGATACGAGCTCAGAGAAGTTAAATAACTTGTCAAAGGTCACCCATCTTTTGAGAGCAAAACCCAGGATGCAACCCCTGCTTGCCAGTCCAGTCCTAAGACCTGTGGTCTGTCCCACTTCTCCATGGTGCTTCTTATGTAGCAGAAAGGTACTATCTTTTTAGTTCCAGCTCCCTCCTTTTCCATATAGATATTGTTATTGTGAGACACTAACAGCATAGGGAATTGGCATTTACATACTTTGGCTCACCTAGAATAGCTAACTGTGGGGTACAGTTGACTACTGAAGGACATAGGTTTGAGTAGTGTGGCTCCACTTATAAACAGATATTTTTCAACACAGTACAGTGCTGTAAATGTACTTTCTTCTCCTTATGATTTTCTTATTGACATTTTATTCCCTAGCTTACTTTATTGTAAGAGTACTGTCTATAATACATATAACACATAAACTATGTGTCAGTTGACTGTTTATGTTATTGGTAAGGCTTCTGGTCAACAGTTAGCTACTGGTCGTTAAGTTTTTGGGGAGTCAAAAGTTACACATGAATTTTCAACTGCACAGGGTGTTGGCATCACTAACCCCTGTGTTGTTTGAGGGCCAACTGTATTTTCTTCTCAAGAATATGCACTCAATCAATATTTATTATAACAAACAAAATGTCTGACAGAACTTTTAAGTATGAACATCTGCTTTCTGGTTATGTGATGTGGCATGTGGAATAAAATACATTTAAATATCTTAAAAAACATATCTTTTAGAAATAATGGTTATTTCAGTATTATTATTTTGAGGACCCTAATAGGCAGGGTGGGACAACCACAGAATCTGGGGGAAGATCTCCCCTCCAGATCTACATCCATCCTTCCTTCCTTCTTCCTTCCTTCCTTCCTTCCTTCCTTCCTTCCTTCCTTCCTTCCTTCCTTCCTTCCTTCCTCCACACCCCCCCTTCCTATTCAACAACTATTTATTGAGTAGAAACCATTTACATGTCACTTTTCTAGGTTCTGGGAATATAACAGTGAATAACAACCACAAAAATCTCTGTCATTAGGAATGGAGCAAAGGCAATCAATATACATACTAAATATCTAAATTAGATAGTATGTTTGAAGGTGATAAATGTGGTAGAAAGAAGATAAAACAGGCTAGGGGAATATGGAATGCTGGTATGTGGCAAGGTAAATAGCATGGCCCTAGGAGGCTCTCAGGAGCCTGGAGGTCAACTTAACATTATTCCTGCTAATTAGTAGAGAGACCCCCAGCACTATTTCAAGTTATTCTTCACCAAGCGCCCTGTAAGCATCCATCTTCACCTAGGTAAGTCTTGTAATGGGTTTTAATCTTTATCTAAATGGTGTTTCCCCATAGATGTCTTTGACAGAGGAGACCAACGTTGCTGTGTCCAACCTATTTCTTCTATCACCTCTGCAGGTATTTTAGTATTAAGGTCTCAGTGATTTTCTTCAATCAAATTCAGAATCAGGTTGATTTACAAGTTTCTTGACCAACAAGGAGTCCCAAGGTGACCCAAAGAGAATGAGTCTGTTAAATTAACTGTCAACTTTCCCTTCAAATTTCCTTTCAGCTCTTATCCAGCTGTTCTAGCTTAGGGTGAAAGCAGCATGACTAATTTTTCATCTAAGGCTTGTGCCTACATTTCAATTTCCAGGGATCAAACAAACAGACTCTTAATGGGAAATTGAAATTCAGGTATAATCCCAAAGTGAAAAATGAACCAAGAAACTGTGTGGCTCCGCCTGTTTTTTTCATTTTGGATGATGTGTCAAGACACTGATAGAGGAAAATAAAAAAAGATAGTGATCCTGAGCTTGAATCATTTCTTATCCATCAGGCCTACAGGAAATGAAATGCTTTAATGAGAAAAAGTGGGTTTCTCTCTACTTTCTCTCTCCTTTTTTTTTTCCTGTTAGATTCATATGAACAATCAGAGGCTTGATAATTGGCATTTAGGAATTGCTTTGGTTCATAAATAAATTAGGTCTTTTGCTGACTTCCTTGAGTATTCAGCACCATATAGGTCAAATTCAGTTTGCAGGAATCTCACTGCTGCTGATGAAACTCTAAATTGCTATGTCCTTGGACAAGGTACTTTTAATTAAAAGCTCAGAGGAGTCTCTGGCCATAGGAGCACTGAAACATTCCTGTTGATCACGATGGCTGGGCAGTCATCTGCGTAGGTGTGTGTGGATCGGGTGATGTGGTGGGGTGTTAGTTGCTGGTCATTTCCTGTTTTAAATCCTACACACTTTCAATTGATTCCCCTCCCCCCTTCCACATTTTTTACTAATGGAGCTTTGCTGCTTCTAGCTGAAATCCTACACAGTAGTCAATAGCAAATCATTCTTTCTGAGGCAGCTATTGTAAAGCAGTTTTTACTGGCTTTAACTCCAAGGCCAGGGATATATTTACAATAAAAGTTGATTTAGTGAAAAATCTGGAAGAATAGGAAGGACCACAGTAGGCGCACACCAAGAACTTTTTAGAAACTCATTTTTTTTTTTCAGGTTGGCAATTTATCCCTTATCTACTACTGGACTTTATATCTGACTTCGTTGTGAAATAAAAAACAAAATAGTCGGGCTCGAACTGAGCCCCATTCATAGCTTGAATGACTCTTAGTTCGTTCATGTTTCTAATAGTTCAAGTGCAATGTGACAGAGAGGCTTCTCTCCCTACTCTGAGCCATGTGGTGAGCATTTGAGATGTATCATCTGGATAGTAGTTCTGAGTGTTTGAGAAGGTCCTGTGTAAACTTGGGGGATTATATATTTAGGGCTCTAGGCCAGTGCCAGAAGTTTAAATGAGAACTGGCATTATAAATCCTAGAAAATGTCAGGGCACTTACACTTGAACTGTATTCTCGGGCGGAATAATTTTCTTTCCTCAGTTCTTAACAGTTCTATAATAATTGTTAAACTGTGTGTGTGTGTATGTGTGTGTGTTTATTTTAATCTTGCTGTAGTTGGAGGTAGTGTTTTTGAATACTTTTTCTTTCAGTGTTTACTCTGTGACTATAACTACACTAAAGCAGAACATCTAAACTAAACAAACCTCTAAACTTTTTTGAACCTTAAGTGAGATTGCAGTTGGTGTTATCTAAAATGTCCATTTTCATGCAGTTTTCTGGTTACTTCTTGGTCCTCAGCAGTGGTTAAAGTAGAATTCAAGGCTCTCACTGTAAAATATTGTAGAAGGGAACTCTAGACTTTGTTAATTGCAAACTAAATAGAAGCAAATCACACACTCCCTCTGAAGGAGGTCATTTCCCCAGGCCTTGCTGGTCCCCAGAAGGCCACTGTCAGTATGTGTACTCACTAAGGAGAGGGGGCAGCCAGTTCACATTGACCTCGCAGTGGGAGTCCAGGAACGTTAAGACTTCTCCTCTTGCCATAGATGCCCCCAAGAGTCGGGTCCGGATGAGCCCTTCCCTTTTCTTGGTGCGAACGATCCTTACTTTGGAGAATCGGGCCATATATTCTTCTAATTTATCCTTCAAGTGTTCTAGGAAGGAAGCAGAGGATGCAAAGAAAGAACACAAAACATTAATTGCAACAAAATTACTCATGGGTGTTTATGCATTAAGCGTATGTGAATGGTGAATCCAAGCTTACATCCATTTTTCTTCTCTCTTCATCTCAAGGGGAGATATTAATAAGATTTTATGCCTAGAGGTTTTTCTACTTTATATTTTCCATAAAGGTTCATAAACTGCAAATACTGCTCTTTGTTTGAACACTGTAGAAGACACTGACGCACCAGAGCTGTACCATATGATTACTGTTGGCCAGCTGCCACCATGCTTAATCATGGCCAGCACTGTCCAAGATGGGCATTGGCCCTCTGGTTCCTGCTGTGTAAAGTCAGATGAGGATTCCAGCATATGGGCTCTTTTCAACAAGAGGGCTCTTTCCAGCAAAGCCACGCCTAGTTTCTGTGTTTTGAAAATAATGAATGTAAAACCACAAGAAAAAAATTATATCCTTCAAATCAATAAGAACCAAACAGATTTTTTCCTCCCACTGGGTAATAGCCAACTAGTTAGGAAGTTCAGCATCTGGCTTCTGATTTGAAGTGTAAAACTGATTGACTTGCTGTTAAAATTAGATGTGAAGAGGGGAAGGCAGATAGATACTCCATAATCATTTTGAACTGAGCTATTGAAGGTTAGAAAACAAAAAAATTTTTAAATGTGTCTTTGCCTAATTAAAAACAAACTCTGGGAACAAAATCGAATCAGGTAGCTTATTTACAGAGAAAAAACCCTATCTCTTACTGTCTGTGATAAAATGCATCAATATCTTCGATCTTTAATGCCAAATAAGGGTGTTTGGTATTTTTCTGTGGAATATGTACTCATATAATTTATATCTTGTGCTTTTCACTCTCTCATATCTACAACATTAGGAGGGCTTCACTGGAGTTTCTAACAGGTACCGTCTAATGTTCATAGACACAATCTTAGTATGCAGTGTGTTCTATAGTTCCACTTTCTTTTTTTTTAATTTTTTTTTTAACGTTTATTTATTTTTTTTTTAAATTTTTTTTTTCAACGTTTATTTATTTTTGGGACAGAGAGAGACAGAGCATGAACGGGGGAGGGTCAGAGAGAGAGGGAGACACAGAATCGGAAACAGGCTCCAGGCTCCGAGCCATCAGCCCAGAGCCTGACGCGGGGCTCGAACTCATGGACCGCGAGATCGTGACCTGGCTGAAGTCAGACGCTTAACCGACTGCGCCACCCAGGCGCCCCACGTTTATTTATTTTTGAGACAGAGAGAGACAAAGCATGAATGGGGGAGGGGCAGAGAGAGAGGGAGACACAGAATCTGAAACAGGCTCTGGGGTCTGAGCCATCAGCCCAGAGCCTGATGCGGGGCTCGAACTCATGGACCGTGAGATCGTGACCTGAGCCGAAGTCGGACGCTTAACGACTGAGCCACCCAGGCGCCCCTATAGTTCCACTTTCAAACTTTCTCCGCGTGTGTGCAATCAAAGGCAATATTCTTAAGTCTCCTCCTATGATCTGTAGCAATAGGAATTCATATAAGGATTTATGATTCCCTTCCCTGTGATTCAATTTAACAGATGTCAGAATTACTCATATTGGAGTTTCTCCATACCTAAGAGTTTATTCTTATTTCTTCTTCTTAATGTAGCATTTAAAAAAAAAATCTCAATTTCCTTTTTTTCAACTGCCCCATAACTATGTTTTACAAACGGATCAAGTAAAAAAATACTTAGCTTTCTAATTTTTCTTATTCAAGAATACTGGTGGGGTCTTTCCCAAGATTGTTTTAGCACAAAATGGGTTCCCCCTCTATTTTGTTCTTCCTGTAATGAACAGACTACAGAAAGCAAACATTACAGATTTGGAGTCAGAATGGACCTAAGTGGGAGGTCTGTACCGGTGAAACATATGAACAGGTCATGTAAATTCTCTTAGTGTAAATTTCTTCACCCATAAAATACATGGAATTGGGGGATTTTTTCCTCTTAGAGTGTGGTGAAGGGTCAGGCTTTTGGTTAGACACCGGACAGTGCTCATTCAACAAACATCCCCTAAGTCAGTAATGGGAGACCTCATAAGTCTCATGCACTTAAGAAGAGAAACAGCATTTTTAGCTGGGGAAATGCCTTTGAATGCTAAGCCTGAAAAATGAAAAATAGAGAATTTTTATTTATTGGTGAGATTTTGATAATTCATCATCTTTTATTTATTGAAAATTTATTTATTTTTTAAAAATGTTTTTATTTATTTTTGTGACAGAGAGAGACAGAGCATGAGCAGGGGAGGGTCAGAGAGAGAGGGAGGCACAGAATCCGAAGCAGGCTCCGGGCTCTGAGCTGTCAGCACAGAGCCCAACGCAGGGCTCGAACTCACAGACTGTGAGATCGTGACCTGAGCCAAAGTCGGATGCCCAACCAATTGAGCCACCCAGGTGCCCTTATTTATTGAAAATTTAAAGAATGAGCTGTTTTGACCAGCAATAAGTGAACACATATAACTTCATAGCAGTATCGCAGTTTCTCAACCGAAAGGCTGGCTCTAAAGTGTCGCTGTCTCTTTAAGATGGGTGTGCTATGCAAAAGCCATAGCTTCTGCCCTTCCTCTCTTTACTGACTCCTCTCCTGCTCTCCTCTGTGCAAGCTGCAAAGAAAGATTCCAATGGACTATACAATACGACACTGCCTGTGAACAAGACTGGAGCTTACTATTACTATTTTCCTGTTAGGAAAACAAAGTAGAGACCGGCCACCCAGTCATGCAATCAAAGGCAATGAGTAAGTGGAAAGTGATCAATACTAGAGCTCTGTACATGCCAGTCTTGAAAGACTTGCACTCGGTCAGGGTTTCCCCTGTAATAAACGTTTAAGAAGACGCCATATGCAAGGTACCTGGGTGGCTCAGTCAGTTAAGTGTTTGACTCTTGATCTCGGCTCAGGTTATGATCTCATGGTTCGTGAGATCGAGTCCCATGTCAGGCTCTGCACTGGGATTCTCTCTCTGCCCCTCTCTATTTGGCATTCTATCTCTCTCAAAATAAATAAATGAACATTAAAAAAAGGACGATGTCATATTCTCATTACTGTAACTTATTCAGGCACTGAAATCCTTCTGTATCTCCAATGTACAAACAAGTGTCATTCTATAAGTTTATTGGTAAATTGGTCGTTTGGACCACAGAAACATACTCTCTCATGGAAACAGTGTCACAACAGCCACTGGTGATGGAAAATAGATGGTGAACATTTATGAAACCCACCAAAACAGTGTTTGTTTGTTTGTTTAAGCTTCACTGTTCTTTTGTCAAATGCTGCTGCCAGTACGATCTCCCTCTTGGCAGTCTGGGGTGCAGTTATTTCTTCCCTTCCTGACCCTAATGGGAACTCTTGGGGGAGAGGAGGATTAATTCTCTGTAGCTCATAAGAGGAAATGGCTCTAGAAGACAGTCGATTCCCAGGTGGTCTAACTCCAGAACCAAAGGGTTGTTGACTATCTGGGAGTGGTTGTCCCGATTTCAGGTTTAGATTTCCAAACTTTTCAGTTTATACAAAATTCTCTGAAACTCAGGTGGAGACTATCTCTACATGTTTCCTTTCCCTCTATGCACATTATCTGATTCTGTGTGTTCTTCTTTGATCAAAGCCCATTTTAACGTACTAAAAGAATTGTATGGTATAAATTCACTAAGCACAAAAGATTTGACCCCAAATGGAGTCCCCTAATTATTCAAATCAATTCTTTTAGTTTGAACTTTTCAGTAATCATCAGGTTGCTTTGCCTTGGAATAATGATCTGGTTGACTGCCCTTGTGAAGGGTCCCTTCTCTTTTAGTTGTAATTTCTAATTACCCATAACTCACAATGAAGACAGGTATCATCAGTCTAATTAGTAAATTAGACTCTCATGCAATGGAGTTATTGGGGATGGTACAGATGGCTTTAAATTAAACACATTTTCTATTTCTTTTGTATGAGCAATTTTTAGATTCATTTCTAAAATATTATTAAAATGATTTTCAACATGATTTTATATGATTTTAATTCAAGCACAGTATCTTTGAAGATCTCCTTTGAACCTCTTTACTTTTATTTAATTACAAGAGCATTTATGGTATTTTTATAAAACAGGCAGATTTCTTTAGCAACAATGAGGCATTTGTAGAACCTTTAACATTTTTTTTTGTCCATGGCAATAAGATTACTAGTTAAAATCTACTGGATGGTATCACAACGACCTGGACAAGTGAACACAAACAATATCAAATACACGAGTTTTGTCAGGGTTATTGTATTAGTGTGGAGCAAGAAGAAATGAAAAGTTGTACACGGGTGAAATTTTGGTGCCTTGCTACTGTGAATATTGAATTTAGCAGTTTTCCAAATGTATTTTCCTCTTTTTCTAGAGATTTCACATATGTTTCATAAACTTACTTGGAGAATATATCATTCACTTGGATATTTAGTGTTAGAGGTAGCAACTAAACACTAAAAAATAACCTTCAATGATTAGCACAGTCAAAAATCGAGTACATGAGTTAGACTTGTTGCTGCCTGGCCACATGCCTTTGGGTAAGTCACTCTACCCTATTTAACCTCATTTTCCTCAGCTACAAGGTGAAGGAAATGTGCCCAGTTGATCTTAAATATTCCTTCTAGGTCTATGATTCAATGATTTCCCCTGTGAAGTTTTACTTGTAGAGTAGATCTAACCCTGTTGAGTACCCAGTTTTTGTTGTTTTTTTTTCCTCAAAAGCTTCCTGATGGTTGATATTTTGGTGTTTCTTTGGGCTGTGTGTCATTTTTGAAAGCAAGAGTCAAATCAAAATAAAGCTAACACATATCAAAGATTTAGTCAAAAAGTGAACTCCACGGTATTTTCTTTGGTCAATACAGCATCTGTCTAATCTCCTGCAGTTCACTGTCTACAAGACTGTTACTGGTGTCAAAATAATGACTTTGAAGCACTGTAAGTTCATCAAAGATTTAAGTCTGTTCAG